ACTCGTGGGATCAATCTCAAAGGCTGAGTCACTTTGACCGACCGCTTGTCTGAACTGATAGGAGATATCTCCATTAACGCCAGCATCCCGATCAATTGCCTGCACAGTCAGGACCACAGAGCCCTTTGGTGCATTTTCCAAAACCTGCACAGTGTAGCGATCCTGTGTGAAGACTGGAGCGTTGTCATTGACATCTAGAACGACAATGTGAATTTGTGTGGTCCCACTCCTGGGCGGAGAACCCCCATCCACAGCAATGAGACTGAAATCCATCTCTGCCTGCTCCTCTCTGTCTAGAGGCTTTTCCAACACAAGTTCAACATATTTGTCACCATTACTCCGACTCCCATAGGAGACACTAAAATACTCGTTCTCGGGTGAGATGCTGTATGCCTGGACGCTGTTGCTCCCAATATCAAGGTCCCAAGCCCTCTCCAGAGGGAAACGAGAGCCAAGATCGCTCGTTTCCGGGATGTCAAAAGTGACACTTTCCTCGGGGAAAACGGGCGAATGGTCATTGATGTCGTGCAGGGCCACCTCGACCCGAAAGAACTGGAGCGGGTCGGCCAGCAGCAGCTCGAAGGCGAGCGTGCAGGTGTCGGACTGGGCGCACAGCTGCTCCCGGTCGAGCCTGTCGGCCACGACGAGGCGGCCGCTGGCGCGGTCGAGGCGAAAGTGCTGCCGGCCGTCCTCGGCCAGCAGGCGGGCGCGGCGAGCCGAGAGCTGCGCCGGCGGCAGCGCCGCGTCCTGCGCCAGGTTGCCTACGAGGGAGCCGCTGTCCGCCTCCTCGGCCACGGAGTAGCGGATGGGCTGCGAGCGAGCGAGCGGCACGGAGAGCAAAGCACACACACAAAGCACTTGCCTTGCCATCGCCATGGCCCTCCTCCGGCGGCGGCGGCGGCGGCGGTGTCCGATCTCCTTCTCGCGGATCTCTCGCGTAGTCCCCAACGAAAGCGGCAGCGGTCGGGTGCCCTTTCTCCCTCTGTATTCCGGTCGGTTCGGCAGCCCGGAGTGCAGCCGCGGTGTCCCAGGCTCGGCTGGCAGACCCAGCGGTCGCTGCCGCAGCCGCTGCCCGCTCCGCCCGGCTGGGCTGTTGTGAGCTGGGCTGGGCTTGGCTGTGCTGAGCTGGGCTGGGTCGGGCTCGGCGGCGCCTTAGCCGAGACCACCACCCAGCGGTGCGCGCTGGGACTGCGCCCGCCGCCGCCCGCTGCCCGCGCTGCCGCTCGGCCCGGCCCACGGACACGCGCGCACACGCGCGGTGCCGCCGCTCGCCCTCGGCTGAGCCCGGGGCAGGACGCGCGCACATCAACCCAGGGATAAAAATGCCCGGGAGTAGCGGCGGGAGCCCTTCAGGGAGTCCCAGCGCACAAGCAGAGCCGGCAGCTGCTCCGCATCTGTCCCCGCTTCTCGCTGTCTGCATCCCGCGGCCCGGAGGGCGCGCTCGTCTAACGATAGGCGAGTCTGTGACCTCCGAGGAACGCAGCGGTAAAAGCGGCACAAGGCGTTTCTCAGGGCAGTGTGGAGCAGAGACTTTGTCCGGAGGGACTGAGCCGCCTTCCCCGGACGGAGAAACCGGCACGACCCCTCCGCAGGTCCAGCACGCCTGTAACAGCAGAGGACGGCACTACAGCTACTGGGGAATGTCAGGCTGCGGACAGGGAAGGGAGGTTCCTCCCAGTACGGCTCAGGCATGGACGCGCCCGCCGACCGGCCAGTCCGGCGGCTGAAAGGGAGAAGCCGCTGTACTGCCCTCATAGGCTTCCCTCTCGCCGGCGGGCTGAGAGCTGCAGAGCGGATCTTCGTCCTTGTCCGGCCCCGTCTCAGCGCTGCTTTGCGGGCTGAGCAGGACGGGCCTCAAGAACTGAAATTCGCTCCTCCCCGAGCCGGTGGTCAGGCACACCTCGTAGCGGTAAGCCGGTGACAGAGTGCCCACCCCGCCCACGTCCACGCCGTCGCTGGCGAAATCTCCATCCGCGTAGCAATTGGCAGAGGGAGGTGAAAGGTGTGCCCGGAGGCGAGCCTTGCACAGCTTGGCTGTCGCCAAGGCGACGACGGACAGGAGGAAGAGTGAGGAGACGCAGCCCAGGGAGGCAATGAGGTAGGTGGTGAGCAGGTCCTCCTCAGCTACCTGCGGCTGCTGCCTGCTCGCAGGATCGTGGTCGAGCTGCAGGGAGGCGTCGGAGAAGTCGTGCACCAGTGCGACAGCGAGTGTGGCTGTGGCAGAGCGCGGTGGCTGCCCGCGGTCCCGCACCAACACGACGAGCCTCTGCCGGGGCGCGTCCCTCTCCGACACGGCCCGCGCCGTGCGCACCTCGCCGCTGTGCAGCCCCACGCGGAACAGCCCCGGCTCCGTCGCCTTGGCCAGCTCGTAGGACAGCCACGCGTTCTGACCCGCGTCCGCGTCCACTGCCACCACCTTGGCCACCAGGTAGCCCGAAGGTGCCCAGCGCGGCACCAGCTCTCCCGCCGCGCTGCTGTCGGGGGCCGGGTGCAGCACCACGGGCGCGTTATCGTTCTGGTCCTGCACCACGATTCGCAGCACCGCCTGGGCGCTGAGCGGCGGCGAGCCGCCGTCAGTGGCACGCACTACCAGCTCAAAGGCACGCACCTTCTCATAGTCCAGTGGGCGCAATGTCCGGACGGTTCCACTCTCCGCATCCACGGACACGAACGATGCCGCGGCGGGGGTGCCCGGTGGAGGTGCCTCTATTGCATATCTCACATGTGCGTTTTCTCCCGCGTCAGCGTCTGTGGCTCTCAGGCGGCCCAGGCTCGTCCCCGCGGGCTCGTTTTCGCTCATCACCATGGTGTAAATGTCCTGGATGAAGGTGGGCGCGTTGTCATTCACATCCAAGAGCAGCACGAGCAGTGTCTTGGACGTCGAAAGCGCGGGTGAGCCTTGGTCACGGGCTCGCACCGTCACGTTGTACTCCGCCACTTGTTCCCGGTCCAGCGCCTCCGATGTCACCAGTGCGTACGCGTCGGCTGCCAGCAGCGAGATGCCGAAAGGTTGCTCATCTGCCAGCTCGCAGGTTGTCCTGCCGTTGTCCCCCGAGTCCCGGTCCCGCACGTTGAAGAGAGCGACCACGGTGTTCAGCGGGGCGGCTTCCGAGAGGGTGCTGGTGAGGGAGGTGATGATCACCTCGGGGGCGTTGTCGTTCACGTCCTCCACCTGCACCTCCACCTTGCAGTGCGCGGACAGGCCCCCTCCATCTGTTGCCTGGACATCTATCTCATAGGTCTTTGTTTCTTCATAATCCAAAGCCTTTTTGAGTCTAATCTGGCCTGTCTCTGGATTTATTTTAAATGTCTCGAAATTTTCCTTTGAATTTTGAACAATTGAATAAGCTATTTCCCCATACGTTCCTGAATCTAAATCGCTAGCAGACACCACCACCACTAAGGTATCCTGTGAGATATTTTCCCTAACGGGGACTTTATACAGACTCCGAGTAAATACTGGAATGTTGTCATTTATATCCAGGACTACCACGCGGATTAAGGCTGTACCAGAGAGGGGTGGAGTCCCACCATCCACAGCTGTGATGCTGAAAGCAACTTCTGCCTGCTGCTCCCGATCCAGGGCTCGATCCAAGACCAGCTCGGCGTACCTCCTGCCGTCACTGCGCTGCCGAGTGTTCACATGGAAATACTCGTTGGAGCTGATACTGTAATGCTGAAGACTATTGTTCCCCACATCTGGATCCTGAGCGCTTTCCAACAAAAACCGAGTCTCTGGCATTGCAGATTCCGAGATCTTTAAAACTATCTCTTTATTTAAGAACACAGGAGCATGATCATTAATGTCGGTGAGTCTTACCTCAGCTCGGAAGGACTGCAGTGGGTTCTCCAGCAGCACCTCGAAACGCACCAGGCAAGGCTCACTCTGCCCGCACAGCTCCTCCCGGTCCATCTGCTCTCTCACCACCAAATCCCCGGTGTGCTGGTTCAGCTGCAAATACTGCTTTTCTCCATCAGAAACGAGTCGAGCCTGACGAGCCGATAATTCCTCACCGGTCAGTCCCAAATCCTTAGCGATACTCGCCACAAAGGAGCCTCTCTCCGCCTCTTCGGGTACAGAGTACCGAGCGATTTCTGCTCTCATTCCCTTGACACAGAGGAGAAGGAACAGAGCCACCGCTCGCCCCGAGAGCGGCTCCTCGCTCTTCCTCAGCTTCATTCTCTTCCTGCGACCCGATCTCCCCTCCTGCGGGCTGGATGGAGCTGCCGATACAGCCTGCCGACCCCCGGACGGAGCAGTCCGAGGTGGTGCAGCCCCGCCCGCCCGAATCCCGGGGGCGGCGGCGATGGAAACTGGGAGATGCGCGGAGCCTCCGCGGTCAGCAGCGGCACCAGGCGACCGATCTGCGGAAGGACGCGAAGATTTCCCAGCACAAAGCCTGGAAAGTAGAGATTAACGGCTCGATTTCTCTCTTCCGGGGTCAAGCAATACAGATTTAACTGTCCATTCAATCCCGTTCAAATATGGCCACCACTTGAATAAGCAACACCTCTGTTTGTCTTTTATTTGAAAAAGAGATTTGTTTAAATCCGGGGTTTGTAGGGGTTTCTTTTCCCCTCCTTTTTCCCCCCTAACGCGCCTCATTATAACGATTTGAATAAATTACTTTCAGGCTGTTTAGCTAAAAAAAGCTATATATTGTTACAGGTGTCCAACAAACCAAGTGAGCTGGTCCATTAACCACGGCAGAAATCGTCATGGTGCTCCCCGTAGAAATTCTCAGAATGGACCGAGATTGTTCATTCATTTCCCCTCAGTCTGGGAACAACATCTCTCGGACCTCAACTTGGCTCCTAAAATCCCCCTCCACCTTGCTCTGGCTTCTCAGAACGGCCTTCTTCCCAGGTGGTTCTGATTTCCCCTGAATAAAATCCACTCCAAATGCAAGGATTTATTCCTGAAATCCTGCTCCTTAGGCGGCTGTTTCCTCAGCGATGACTGTGACAAGTGATCTCGAGACAGCACACTCACCCGAGGAAGTTTCAAATAGCTTTTATTGTTTTCTGTCAGCAGGCATCTAACTCTTAAAAATGTGTAGGTGACAGGAAATATCACATTACTTTATAGATCAATACCTATTAACGAAGAAAAAGAAAACAGAAAGCTTCTTGAAGGCCTATGTTCTACAGTGCCCTAAGTTAATTGTAAACAGTTCAGAGTGTTTTACTCTAAAACCACAAGCAGTACTTTTAATTGTCTACTAGTTTACACTAAAAAATCCTTAAATATTAATGTAAATTTTACCTTATTAAAACAAACAACACCCTCCCCAACAAAACAAAAAAAAGCACATTGCTCAAAGCCCACTCTTTACAGTAAGGAGAACCTGTAAACTCCTGCCAAGTGTGCCAGTGCCAGTGATTTCTAATACAGATAGCTTCTACCTGTTATTAAGAAATTCCTTTGCAAGCACCACTCAGTTTTGCTTAATATTTGTTTGGTCTAGTATTGAACAGAGGGAAAAAAATTAAGACATTATTACAGAGCTCTCTCCATAAAACCAAACAAAACTCACAAAAAAAATCCCATAGAAAAGATGGCATAGGAAAAAGCTGAAGATCTGCTGCAGTTTTCAGTATTTCCCTTAACATGTAGAAGCAATAGCACTTTCACAATCATACATTATTGTGTAATCAGCATGCAACACAGTCCTCCTCCTCCATTGGCATCACAATTACAAAATACCTACGTAAATAAAATACTGCTCAAGAGGAGAGTGTTTCTGCTCTCCCACAGAGAAGCTTTCATCTCCCTGGTACCTTTTAGGGAGGTGTTTGGTCTCTTCGTTCTCTTTTCCCTGGGAGGACAGACATACTTGTCTCTCTTCATTTACTGATGGTTGAGCCAAGGGTTTTGATCAGAAGTGACATTTAACCCCAGCCCCCCGTTTGCAGTGCAAGCTGCTTCTGCAGCTCCGGGTCCTGTGTCTTCAGAGAGGGGGGCTCTGCCCTGCAAAAAACAGAGAGACTGGTTGTCTTTTGGGCGTTGAAGGGAAGCAGGTATCATCGAGAAGCTTGGAGGGCATGTCTTACACCACCGCCTGTGTGACACTTCCCTACCCAGAGCCAAAGAGGAGGTTGGTGGGTCTCCAACCCGAACAGACAACATCTAAAGTTCAGAAACCATCCTCCACTGTGGACAACTCAAAGGTACTATTGCAAAACTTGTATGATTCTCAAGGAGTAATTCAAGATGGTAAGAGCATCATATAAAACCCCTTTCTCACAAACAGTAAATGTGGTTTAATGTTGATGTATCAAGAAGGGTTGTTGTCTGCCCTGAAGCTACTGCGGCTCTGAACACCTGCACTAAAGTGTGAGTCCAAGTGGTTATGAAATACTAAAATGTTAAGGGGCGACTCAAGACAGTATTAGAGGTGACTTGGACTCAGTGAGAGAGTGAGGAGTTTCAATGATCATCTCTTGTGTCCCCCACACTCTTTGAACACACGGAAGTTAACAGGAGCTCAGATGTGACTCACTCTGAGTTCACAGAGGGCTGGTACTGCCTGGGAGCACCAGGCTGGGTCAGGAAAAGACTGCGAGGGTGCATTATAAAGTCACGATAACCACATTTTCCTCGCCGACACTGTTCATGCAAGTCACAAAAATAGAAGGGAATTGAATGGCAGGGGTACTCACCTCCTTAGCCTCGAGCAGCTTGAGTTCAGCACTGCCACCACCACCCTGGTGAATGGCACTCGGCAGCGCCGAGCACCAGCTCCTAACAGCTGTGCAGGGGACACTGTCAGTGAAGTGACACCCCTTTGCACAGTTGTCCCCGCAGCCTCATCTGACACTGCACAGGATCACTACATTCCCACTACTGCCGCCTCCGGGAGGATGTGTCCCTGGAAGCGGTACATTCCTGCTCCCCATGGGCTCCACACAGTGCTTGGGCAGGATCCAAAATGGAGACACATTTCTACCTCTACTTCTCACCTTCTCGTTGTCCAGCTGCTCTCCTTTGCAGTGACACTGAAGACTTGCTTTAACACGAATACTCAGCATAGATATGGGTGCAGTTACCCGGAGAGGTGAGAGATGCCTCATCCCTGGAAATATTCAAGGTCAGGCTGGATGGGGCTCTAAGTAATATGATCTAGTTGAAGATGTCCCTGCTCCTTGCAGGGGAGTTTGGACTCGATGGCCTTTAAAGGTGCATTCCAACCAAACTATCCTATGCTTCTATGATGCAGAGAGGAGAGGTTAGTCAGCATATGGGAAGCAGCTGAACCCTGCTGGATCCTCCTGGGAGGCACCGCCAGCTGCTCTGAGACCCCCTGTAACTTCTCCTCCCACCACAGGGACCCCTCCACTAGCAGCTCAGCATCTTCCTTGCTAGCAGGATGTGGCACATCCCCCTATCCTCCCCCCACGGACAGGTCCCTCACCTGTGCAGCCCAGTCGCCTTCCTCCCCGAGGTTTGCCACATCTTGCGAGCACACTGAGCTCCGCTGTTCGCCCGGGCCGGGAGGCAGCCCGGCGGGGAAGCAGGGGAAGAGGGGTCTGAGGAACCGAAACTCGCTGTTGACGGTCCCGGCGGCGAAGCAGACATCGTACAGGTAGCTGCGGGGCAGGGAGCCCGCACTGCTCTCCGTGGCTATCGTCGGGAACGTGGGCAAGGTCTCCGTCTCCCTCCGCCTGGCCCGCCGCACCTTCACCACCAAGGCGGTCAGCGCGGTGGCGAGGAACAGCGCCGACACGCAGGCCAGGGAGGCGATGAGGTAGAGGGTGAGCGGCCCGTCGGGGTCAGCGGCCGGTGCCTCCTCGCTCACCCGCAAATGCGCTTCGGAGAAGCCGTCCACCAGCGCGACGGCGAGGCTGGCGGTGGCGGAGCGCGGTGGCTGCCCGCGGTCCCGCACCAGCACAACGAGCCTCTGCCGGGGCGCGTCCCTCTCCGACACGGCCCGCGCCGTGCGCACCTCGCCGCTGTGCAGCCCCACGCGGAACAGCCCCGGCTCCGTCGCCTTGGCCAGCTCGTACGACAGCCACGCGTTCTGACCCGCGTCCGCGTCCACCGCCACCACCTTGGCCACTAGGTAGCCCGAAGGTGCCCAGCGCGGCACCAGCTCTCCCGCCGCGCTGCTGTCGGGGGCCGGGTGCAGCACCACGGGCGCGTTATCGTTCTCATCCCGCACCATGACGCGGAGCAGCGCCTGGGCGCTGAGCGGCGGCGAACCGCCGTCACTGGCGAGCACTGACACCTCAAAGGCACGCACCTTCTCGTAGTCCAGCGGGCGGAGGATATAAACATCCCCGTTTTCAGCGTTGACTGACACCTCGGGCTGCTCCTTGCCCTCCTGCCGCACCAGCGCGTAGTTTACGCGGGCGTTTTTTCCTGCGTCGGCGTCCGTGGCGTTCATGCTGCCGATCCGGAGCATGGGGCTGTTGTTCTCCGTGACCGACATGGTGTAAATCTCCTGCGTGAACTCTGGGGGATTGTCGTTCACATCCGATATCTGCACGAAGATGTTTTCCCGAGAGCTCAGCCGCGTCCTGCCCCAGTCCGTGGCTGTGATGGTGATGTTATACTGCGCCGTGCTCTCCCTGTCCAGCGCCGCGTTTGTTCTCAGTTCGTAATAATTATCAAAAGTGGGGGTGAGGCTGAATGGCAAGTCCCCTTCGATCGAACACTCTGTCCTGCCGTTGTCCCCGGAGTCCCGGTCCCGCACACTGAAGAGAGCCACCACGGTGCGTGGCGGGGCGTCCTCGGGAATGGAGGCGGTGAGAGAGGTCAGCGCTATCTCCGGGGCATTGTCATTCACGTCCAGGACTTCTACCTGCACTTTGCAGTGCGCAGAAAGCCCCCCGCCGTCAGTGGCTTTTACCACCATCTTGTGGGTTTTCGCCTCCTCGAAATCCAGGTTGCCCGCGACTCGTATCTCCCCGGTGGCCGGGTTCAGCTGGAACAGCTGCCGGGATCTCTCCGATGTCTGGGTGAAGGAGTACCGCACTTTCCCATAGGACCCTTCGTCGGGATCTGCGGCCGCGACTCTGACCACCAGCTGCTCCGGGGGGCTGTTCTCAGCCAGGCGCACCTCATAGACCTCTCGATCAAAGGCAGGGATGTTGTCATTGGCATCCAGCACCACGATCCGGATCAGAGCCGTGCCCGACCGGGGTGGCGAGCCCCCGTCGATGGCGGTGAGAAGTAAATTCAGCTCCCCCTGCTCTTCACGGTCGAGCTGGCGCTGTAGGACGAGCTCCACGTACTTTACTCCATCTTTCCCTGTTCCCAAATCGAGGGAGAAATGCGCATTGGACACGAGGCTATAGTTCTGCAAACCGTTACTGCCCACGTCTTTATCCTGGGCGCTTTCCAGGGGGAAACGAGACCCAGGAGATGTTGTTTCTGGAATCTCTAAAACCATCTCCTTCTCCGGGAACACGGGGGAGTTGTCATTTACGTCACGAATCTCCACCTCCCCTCGGATCAGCTGCAGCGGATTTTCAAAGAATATCTTAAAGACGAGCGTGCAGGTGTCTCTCTGCGGACAGATCTCCTCTCGGTCCAGCGACTCTTTTGCCGTCAGGACTCCGGTGTTTTGATCGAGACGGAAAAGCTGCTCGCTCCCCTCAGACACAACGCGGGCCTTGCGAGCCGCGAGCTGGCTCACGGGAACCCCCAGGTCCTTTGCAATGTTGGCGACAAAGGAGTCCCTCTCCATTTCCTCCGGCAGAGAGTAGCGGAGGGTCTCAGCCCCGCTCTGACACACGCAAAAGCACAGAATAAACAAGATCACTTGCCTCTTGCTGTCTCCGCTCCGTCTCCCACACTCCATCACTCTCCGAAAAAGCCATCCGCCGTCCTCCGCGGCTCCCAGCATTTTTAAATAGTGTCCGGAGCGGAGCGGTGTTTGCCAGCAATCCTGGGGTGAGGGAATCTGGAAGCTCCCGAGTACTCCGACTCCTTCCCGAGCAGCTCCCACGGTTTTTTTGTCTCCCTGTGCCTGCAGAGCCGGGGCGGACCGAGGGACGCGCCGGTCCGCGGCCAACACCCCCACCCAGCGTCGGAAGGGGGAATATTTCCTCCTGATTCGGGGTTTGCTGCTTGAATGTGTGCTCTGTGTGCCAAAGTGAAGCCAAGAGGTGCGGTGGAAATATTCTCCTCGCTTGGAAGCGGGGTCGCTGTCGCTGCTCTGGGTATCAGATCCCAGCTCGCCAACCACGAACTCTTCAGACACAGCTTTTGGGTTGGCTCTACGTTGTGTAGGCACTGCAAGATTCGCTTCCTCGGCAATCATTGCGAGGTTTTCATTCTCCATTTGTTAACCAGCGCAGGACAATTAGCAACTGGGGCGGGTCAGAGAAGCTACTGAAGATGAGAGCTGGTGCCAGAGAGCTGACAGGGAAGTCACACTAGAAGATAATGCTGTTCTAGGGCACATCATCCTAAGGTTGTTTTTTTCTCATTGGGTATCACATCTCGCCCGAAGGACACTTAACACTTTAACACTTTTCTGTGTGAAAAGTGCTTTTCTCCTTAGCTGACAAGAGTTTTCTCCCCTGCACGCCATCCATGATAAGGTGTGTCACTATGTAACGCATTCCTGAAAAATGTCCCCAGGCGTACACAAGCATCGAAATGCTGTAAAATGTTTTCATGTTTTGAAGGTGTAATGTCCTTTCCCCTCTAATGTTACCACACAGGGTTAGGAATATTTTAAAGGTCCCACCTTAGAGGTAAAACCTTCACTCTTATTCCTGTCTGAGGCCAACAACTAGTTAATGCAAAAGGCAAGGAAACAAACACAAGAGCTCATAAATTAAGCACCCAGATACACAGAAGCTAATGAGGAGCTAACGGAGACAATAGCAAAGATCAGGGATCTAATTACACTAATTAATGGGCCATTAAAGGATTTATTGAAGTATAAACTCCAGAGGTTCAACAAGAAGCTTTGTACACCATAAAGGGGGAAAAAAGTTCTAAAGATTCTCATATATTACCAGAAAGAGTCTCACAGGAGAGAAGAAACAGATTACGAGATGTTTTATGGGGGATTTAGGAATATACAAAGCTTGCTATGAGATGGTTAGAGGCAGAACCAAACTCGCTAAGAGGGAGGGATCAAGAACAGACCTGTGAGGAACAACCGTGGGAAACAGAGGTGGAAGGGGACACTGAGGGGTTCTGAGCACGGCCTGGTAGCTGAGGCAGGATCTGTGCTGGAGACTGGTTAAAACCATGAGGGTCAGGCACTCATGGCTGTCCCAGAGCATCGACATCTCAGCTGCTTCTGCGGCGAATGCACACACAGTGTGCTGGGGATGCGTCCAGGTGCCTGCGAGCCCAGCCCAACCCTCCTCTTAGAGAATTAAAAAAAAAAAATGGAGGAGAAAACAGAATACAGCTTGCACTACTTATTTTTGGTTCGAGCAACTTTTATTCAGGTTTTACTATAAAAAGAACAGCACTATTTTAGTATTATTATAAAATATCACAACCTCCTGGGTTTTGGTACCTTTCCTTTAATTTCCTAGATATTTTCCTTTATTTTTGCTTTCTAAAAGGGCTGATGCTGTCAAATAATACTCACGAGGTCCAGTTAGAGAAATTCGTTGACACCTTCATTTGTTTTCAAATAAAACTTCGTGACTGTACGAGTAGGAGAAAGTAGCAAGAGTTGACTTAGGATTCCTCAGAAGTTTAGACACTAAAGGACCTTGCACGAATGCAGTCATTTTTTTTTTTTTTGTGATTTCCTCTTACAGCCCCTTGACTTGGAAGCCTGAGAGGCTCTAACTTACATCAAAGGGCAGCTCAGCTCCCTTCTCCTCTCCCCTTCCGTGTCCACCTCTCGAGTTGCGATTATTATCACCAACACAAAAGCTTGATGTAAAATCAACCACAGCTGGGAAAGTGGTTTCTCTCCTCTTTCGTGCCACGCAAAAATAACTGTGACACCTGGAATCCACTTGCTTTGTGCCCCTTTGTTTAGCTCTCGGCACCTCCGAGAGAGGAAGGTGTATTTGTTTCTACTTAACCTAATCTTTGGCACCGCGGCACAGCGGGGAACAGGCACAGGCCGAGAGGAGCTTCCACAGACACTTCATACCCTGACTGCAGAAACCCCGTAATTTTTGGTCCTATCATTTAAGAAGGCAAATGGTGTCTTTCAGCTTCAGGTGTAGAAGGGAGTTAGAAGAACAGTGATCCTTAACGGAGCTCTTGGCTGTGAGAGTCTCTTTGCATATCAGAAGATCTGGTCTTCCACTGACTTTTATATTCTTTCAGATTTTAAAGAAATGCGAAATAAAGAGGATCACTTACCTTGCAGCACTGGAGAGTTAATGCTGGTGTTTTCTGTTGGGTTACAACAATGAAATGAATTAAAAAAAAAAAAAAAAAAAAAAAAAAAAAGAGAGAGAAGAAGTTTGAACGCTGCCAGATGAAGGCACACTGTATTTTAGGACAGACTGAGGAGCTATAACCATAATAAGGACATAATTTGCATAAATGTGTCAGAGAATTCACTTATCTCCTTGAACACATAGTGATGTTGCAGGCTTCCTCATCTCTGGTTAATGATGACATCTTTATCCTAAGAAGGTAACTTAAAATGACCAAAAAACCCAGTTCTCTCTGCTCTGATATTTACAACTGAATGCTAGAAAAGTGCTACAGTTCCTGGTATGTCCCCGGATTTCAGAACACAGCATTCCTAAAAGAAAACTCTGCCCTCACTTCTGCAATTTCAGTTTCCAAAATCCCCTTCTTGGTCTTTCAGCTGGGAATTCAGATTTGCCGAATGAAATCTGAGAGGCCCCACGCCTTTAACCCCTGACAAAGGTTTCTCCCGCATCCCTGGAGTCCCTGAGGATACAATGGCTTGGGAGGAGGCGTTGCCTGGAGATCGAAAGCACAGATGCTTCCCCGAGTCGCTGTGGTTTCCATGCCTGATGCAAAGAGGGACCAACGTTCCTGTCCTCTCGTTCCCAGCCATCTCCAAGGACTTCTTCTTTCGTCTCTATAACAATCAGGCAGCACCCGAATTCCCAGCTCTCCCGCGGAACTGCTGCCTGGAACTCTCAGCAGGACGCAAACGTCAGGAAAGCCGGGAGAGTCATTCCCAGGCTCGGTTATATTGTAAATACCACTGGTAGCTGTCTTGGTTTTGGCTCATTTTCCGAGAGATAAACCCACCTCCTCTCTCTGCCTGCATTCAGTTCGGTTAAGGCTTTCCCCATCACTCTGTTAAAAGTAAACCTTTATTTCTCCCGGTATTAACTCGGTGCTTACCAACCAACCGGCTCTGTGTGAGTCACCCCAGACCTGCGGTGAAATCCTCCCAAATCCCTCAGGGCTGGACCTGGGAGACCGCCTCTCTCCTTCACAATCCCTGCTTTGCCTTGTGCTCGTAGCGTTTCCAGGCGCGGCTCGCTGCGACGATTCCCAGCGCATCCTTTGGAAAGGCTTTAAACCAGGGCGCATTCCAGCGCAGCGGGGGCGTTTCGGCTGCGCCCTCAGCAGCGTCTCACTGGTGCTCACCGGGCTCCCCCCGGTCCCGCCCAGCAGCAGCAACACCCGCCCAGCGCTGGCCAACATCGCCACTGGGCGAGCAGCGCACGAACTGCAGCGGGGCGTCTGCCCGAGCCTCAGCGCGGAGCTCCTCCCTCGGCTGCTGGCTACTGCAAGGACAAATTCTGAAATACCTCTCCCACCTGAAGTCTTCCTTAGCACTTCTCGAGGCATTTGGTTTGAGATTAATAATCCAGGCAAGCATGAGACGCCTTCCCCAAGCCTTCTGTCGAATGTGCTTAACAAGGGACCGAGCTAGGGGCAAACGTAGCAAGCGTTGCTCACGTGTTGTGCACTGCATTTTCCAGAATTCGGGCAATAAAGGCGTTTTCAAGCACAGGCTGTTTGTGGGAGGCTGAATTTTGAATACTTTCTCCTTCACGAGGAGATCTCCAACTGTTTGATGTCTTCTAAAGTATTCTGCAGTTAAGAACTAATTCAGGATTAATACCAGCACAGACCTCCTCTGAGCCTTGAATCAGCTGTGACAGATTGACAAAGAATATTTCAAAGATGAGCGTGCAGGTATCACTCTGTGGACAGACCTTCTCTCAGTCCAGTGACTCCTTTACAGTCAGTGACTCCTTTACAGTCAGGACTCAGGTGTTTTGGGTGAGGCAGAAGTGCTGCTTCTCGTCAGACACAATAGGGAACACATTTCTTCCCAGGCAGCAGTACTTTCTTCCTAATAAAACCAGTTCATGAGGCCTTCTGCTCCAGGATCTCCCTGTACACATTCCAGCTTCGAAGAATAAAGGAAAATTCCCTGTTCAAAAGTCTGACTTCATATATCTTCTCGGAGACATTCTGCACTCTCCAGTCTCCAGAGATAGTGCTGGAGAGAAGGTACATCCCAGACTGAAAGAGAGCAGGTTTAGATTGAATATCAGGAAAAAATTTTCCCTGTGAGGGTAGTGAGTCACTGGAAGAGGTTGCCCAGAGAAGCTGTGGCTGCCCCATCCCTGGAAGTGTCCAAGGCCAGGCTGGACAGGGCTTGGAGCAACCTGGGCTAGTGGAAGATGTCCCTGCCCTTGGTAAGGGATTGGAATGAAATGGGCTTTAAGGTTTTTTCCAACCCAAGGCATTCTCTACCCATATTTTTTTCATCCTGCATCTTTTGAATGCAACAAATTCTTTCTCTCTTCTCTCCAGCCATGACAATCACAGTACTTCTTGTTTGGAAATAAATCCTCTCTGTTTCAACACTTTGCTACTACGAATGTCTTTTGAAGCCAAGTAATTATTCTCATCTTCATAAACTTTGTTCTTAGCTGGATCCAATTTTTCCATCCTCAGTCTCACTCTGCAGAAATTTTCTTCACAAATCCCTAGAACTGTGGGGGGTTTTCTGTATCAAATGGCCCACAAATAATATTTTTATTTCTAGATATCTTATATCTTGGTGTGTTTTGAGGGAGGAAAACCTCACCTGCTGAGATTTTTTTTTAAAATTATTTTCTTGTGTCCATTTTCTGTATGACTCTTTCCACAGTTTCCTGCGGTGGCTGTTTCAGTTGACTCAGAGGAGACTGATCCAAAAGAAAAATCACATGATGAACAGTCAAGCAGCACAAGGTTGTCAGGCAACTCAAGTCCACTGGGTGAATAATCGTGGCTTTCCATGTGCTTTTCATGAAGAAACAGAAAATAAGATGATTTTCTCAGTGACATTTGTAAAGCCTTGAAAAAGAGACTTCAGGGACAGGCTTTTCATGAGTCTTCAGGCTTGTGAAGAAATATTTCTACAACTGGCTACACTGTCACCTGAGGTTAGTGATTAGAAGTGTTTGAAGGTAAACAATCCAGCATTATAATAAGAAAGTGAGAACTAGGCAGACTGTGTGCTGTTCTGGGCAGAGAAATAGCACATTTTGTCTTAAATGGAAGGCCAGGAAGGAAAGGATATGGGGATGTTGGCCTTGGACAGGCTAATTTTGAGAATCTAGTTGGTCATCTGAGGAGGAAAATAGGGATTCAGCTGAGAAGCAGATTTGACAGTGAAGAAGGGAAGGGGAGAGCAAGAGGGATAACAATGGTTGGAAGAGGGAAAGATGTTATGCCAGAGGGACCAAAGGAGGACAAGCATGAACCTGTTTGGTTGACAAAGGTGACCAAGCAGGGTAAGGACAAAGAAATACATGTAGGGACCATCCTGAAGGCAACTTAGTTGATGTAGCACCTGTAAGAAAAGAATAAAAATGGACATTAGTAAAGGGAAAGTGGGGTTCCACCAGCCAGAGCAGACAGGATATGGGAATTCTGAAGAGAAGCAGGAAGGGCCATAGATGGAGTTTGAAGTCAAAGCAGATGTATGGATTAGAAAGAAGCTGAAACAGATGTAAAGAAGGAAGAAACAAACCAGTTAGGCAGGAGGAAGGAAGTGTAGATATCATCCTTGAGGTTTGTTCCTGTCCTCCCATTCTCACTATCTGGCTTAAGACCTAGATTTCCTCTTTTCCATCTTTCTTCCTCAGAATGCCTTTAAATTATCAGAAGGTAGCAGCAAACCAAAGGGAACCCTGTTATCTCAGCCAGTGTAACAGGATAAAGTGCCCAGAGAAAGCATCAGTGCCCAACTTTCTGTCTCCCAATGCCAACCTTGGCCCATCTGCAAGTCGAGTTCCCAGTCCTGTAACCCTTGGATTGCACGAACAGACTGAGGGCAGCTCTGGAAACACTTGGCCCAGTGCTACCTAAAGGGAAGGTCAGTGGAGAAGTGATTCAAGCACAGTTTCATGCACAGCATGGTCACTGTCTGGAAGGAAAACAGAGGTTCTGAACAGAGGTTTTCAAAGGAGTCAGAGGTCAAGGGGGTTGTTGTGTTTACTCATCACAGCTCCAACATGAGGGCATCACTCCCCACTCTCCACTGTGCTTCTGGAGACACAGTGACCAGTCCAGCAGTTAAATAAGTGCCCAGCACTATTTCTAAACCAAATCCAGCAAAATGGGCTCTGTGATCCCAGCATAAAAGAAATCTGACCTATGCTTTACTGAAACAGCAGAGTTGTCCTGTTTTGGGAAAACACTTGGGAAAGAAAAGGGATTTTGGGCCCTCTTTTAACTTCCTTTGTCCTCAGCTGCAGGTTACTTTCTCTCACATGATTCCAGCAACCAGTGCAACCCAGGCACCCTCTGGAATCATAGGATGACCCTTTTGTCTCTGACACAGCTAAACTGTCCCTTGGAAATACAGGGTGACCATTGAACTACCTGTTCAGTCACATTGTTTACACAAAGCAGTGAGGTTTAGACTCTCAGTCTCCTACATACCCTTGTATCTTGCCTTTTATTTGATTTTTAAATACTTTTGTATTTTGACAGAGCTGAGCTGTGAAAAGCCATCTCTCTGTTGGATGATGTTTTGACATGCTCAGCACTTCTGACCAACAACATGTGGATACTGTGAAAGAAAAGAGATTTATAGAAAAGCAAATATCCATTCTGTGGGGAGAAATCCAGAGTTTATTCACTGTTTAAGCAACAGGCATGTACTTATATCAGTATCACATTTTCTAAAGGAGTGGACACACTGGCAATGACAAATCCAAAAGCAATTTCAAGATAGATGCAGACACACAGTTCCTAGTGAACAATTATAAAGGAAATAGTTACAAACCCAACACATTTAGCAGGTATCATGCTGAAAATGCATGATAGCTAATTTACTTTATAAAGAGTTTATACTTGGGTAGATGCAACACAACTGTGATGTAAAGATAC